TTTATTTATTTATTTTTCCCCACAGTGTAACATACATTTGGTAAAGTATACTAACTTAAATGGATAGCTCGGTATTTTTTACACACATGTACACCCATGTAGCTACCACCCAGATAATGAAATAGATCATTTCCAGCACCCCAGAAAGTTCCCTCTTGAAAGTTCCCTTCAAGGTAGGGTAACAAATTGACCGAGTTTATCCAGAACCGAAAGGTTTTTCCTGGGCATGGAACTTTCTCTACTAAAATCGAGAAAGTCCTAGGCAAATTAGGACAAGTTGCTCACTCTGCTTCAAGGTCTATACTCCAGCCCACCTGCAGTGGCAATCACTATTCCGAATTCTATCTAGTAGTAATTTTAAGAGTTGTACAGATGGCTCTAAAGTACAGCCAGGGCTGACTCCCATGTGTATCAGAGTCACCTGAGCCTTTCCCCTAGGCTTTCTAATTCAGTAGGTCTAGGGTGGAACCAGCACCTGCATTTGAACAAGACCCTATAGTAAGATCTAAGAAGCATTGTTCTAATCTCTACAGCAACACATATGCTTCGGATTTTCTGAGCTTGTCTGTGGCCTGCCTCCCCCACCTAATAGCTTCATGAAATCATGTCATTACTAATAATCATGTGAAAAGATGTCGGGGCACCACGTACAGAAGCCTCCTGGCCAGGTTTCCCTTGCATCTCATTGGTCAGAACTAGGTCGCATGCCTTAGCACAAAGGAGGCTAGGAAGGTGAGTGTCTGGCTTCATTGTCCTCTATGGATAGGCTCTGCCAAAAAAGACACAGTTGGGAAAAATAGTTGTTGGGTAGGAACCACCAGTGTCTACCACAAATAAATACCTTTCATGACCTTTTTTCAAAAGCTGGACAAGGCTCAGAGGTATAAAGTTGCTTGCTTAAGGTCACATAACTAAAAAGTACTTGCCACTTTGTAGAAAACCCGTAAATGAAGGTGGTTGAGTCAGAGCCTAAGTTGGGCCTTGAATTCAGATCTCCTGATGTACAAAGAAGTGATCTAGTTACTTCCTCCAGCTGGCTTCTTCTTGTCCTTTGCATGTGTTTATATCTTAAATAATATTTTTAAGGACAGAGCTAACTTAGTGGGCAGTAGGTATTGGTATGGCTTCTTGCTGCTGGCCACAACCTGAGAGCAGAGATGGATGCCTGATAAAACTGGAATTTTTCTTAACTGCTTTTGGATACCACCCAAACTCAGAATGCATATGGCACCCTTGGACACACAGGAAAATGTTATTTTCACCATTTCCTGCCAAATGTCCAGCTGGCTCCACTGATAAATGATGAATTTCAGGGTGGAGCCTGGTTCCTGACATTCTCTGCATGGTCAACTTTCTAGCTGAATTTCTCTCCCACCAGAGAGTCTGGGAAATTGGAGCCCCATGAGTTAGAGACAAGGAAAATTCCTTCTAGTTGGAAGTCACTGCCTTTTTGTAACCTAATCTCAGAAGTGACATTTCATCTCTTTTGTCATATTCTATTCATTAGAATCAAGTCACACTCAAGGGGAGGGAATTGTAAGAGCGTGTGAATACTAAGAGGCAAGGATCATTGGGAATGGATGTAGAAGCTGCCTAGCATGCCACTTTTCACACCCAGAGCTTGGAACTCCAAAATCCATTTTATAATAAAAATAACTACCATTATTAAATGTTTATGTGCCAGGCATTACGCTAAGAAGTTTACATATATTGTAACATAAAATCCTTACAACAACCCTATGAGGTAGATACAATTAGCATTATCCCATTTTTTCATGAGAAAATATGCACAGAGAGGTTAAGTAACTTATCCAAAGTCACCCAGCTAGTAAATATCAAAGCCAGGAACACTGAATAATATTTGCTCAGGACTTGAGAATTACAAACCACTTTCTTTTATCCTACCAACATTGTGAGTTAGGGATCATACATTATACTTTTTATTCTTAAGAAAGCTATATTCCCAGTAGCCCTGGCCTTTCGAGATCATTAGGTATTGCTATTTAGAGATTCAGGATGAAAAATTATTTAAATAATCCAGTGCTCCTGTAGGGATGGTTTTCTTATGTTGATCTTCATTGGGTTGGGCACATCTCAATCAAGATGTTTCCTTCTGCATCAAGAGAGTTTTAAAAAGCTTAGCATCATGTGGGATTTGGCATCAGATAAAATTTATTGCTTGGAAAAATAATATCAGGCTGAATACTTTCCTCTCATCTCAGTTGAGGTCCACCAACTGACCAGCTTTTCCAGTAATAATCATCAACCTAGAAGAATTTCAGTCAGGGGAACTTCTCAACCTAGGACTGCATTTGCTTAATTAGGGATTTAGCATATTGTAGATGATTTAAAAGGGGGAGGGGAGAAAAGAGAAGAAAATCCACAATTATTTTAAGTGGATCTAAAAAGGAGAGGGGAGACAGAACTCAATTTTTCCACTTATTTTAGATTTTAAAAATATGCCCTAGGGGGACATTAAAAAAAATGCCCATGGGAGCACCCCATGGTTAAATTAAGTAAGCATACCATAAAATTGCCAATTCCACTCCCTCTTATTTTGCTAATATCTTTGGTGGGTATTTAGCGTTTGTCCTTTTGACAGGTCTTTACTGAGCATCTTTATTGAATTTTCATGCTAGATCTTTTTCATATTTACCCAGGGAAGCATCTTTATGAGTTCCATTTTGCAGCTAAGAAAACTGAGGCAAGGAAAGATTATATGATTTTCCAAAGGTCACAGAGCCGGGAAGTGATTGATCCCAGGATGCCAAGCCACATGAGTTTTGTATACCGGGAACTGATTCTTACACACACAATGCCCTTTTCCTTCTTAGCAACACTCTGGTTCCCATGGCTTTTCCTGCGACTTTTCTTAGCTGGAAAATCTGAATAGAGCATGGTTTTGCATTTTAATATTAGTTGTTTTCATTTCTAAATATTACATAATTTTCATAATAGCCATGTTATTTTTATGTTCTGAAACATAAAAGTCAAAATCTAATAAACTCACAAGAATAAAAACCAGAGGAGAATAGCTCTAAGATTAGTTATTTGAGTGAAATTCTTCTATGCATGTCATGGAAAGTTACCTCTTTTTAATGTTGTAGTGGGAACCGCTTCTTCCGTATTACCAGAGTTTATTGCTGGCCTTGAACATTTTTTTAAGTTGCAGTAAAATATGCATTACATAAAATGTACTATCTTAACATTTTTAAGTGTGTAGTTCAGTAGTGTTAAGTTATGCAAACAATCTCCGGAACTTTATCTTGCAGAACTGAAACTCTATACCCATTAAACAACTCCCCATTTCCTTATTCCCCCAGCCCCAGGCAACCACCCTTGTACTTTCTGTTTCTGAGTTTGACTAACTCTAGGTACCTCATGTAAGTGGAATCATACATTTCTTTGTCCTTTGGTGACTGGCCTATTTTAAGGATGTCTTCAAGGCTATTCACATTGTAGCATGTTTTAGAATTTCTCAGGTTCCATTGCTGCAAAATCTGGAAAGTTCACCCATCTGCAATGCCCATGTCCAGCTGCCTTCCCCCTTCCTAGCCTAGCCTCAGGGTGGAGGCTTTTCCCCACAGGCTGGAGAAATGTGTGCCCACACTACCTCCTGCAGACAAGTCCTGGAAGGGACCCCGGCTCCACATTCTGGGGCAATTGTGTGGTTACATTAGGAGTGAGGCACCCAAAATCTAGAAAAAAGGTAGATTAATCAGCCATGCCACTCTGAACAAGCCTGATCCCGTCTGATCTTGGAAGCTAAGCAAGGTCAGGCCTGCTTAGTACCTGGATGGGAGACCACCTAGGAAGACCAGGTGCTGTAGGCGTTTAAAAAAAAAAAAAGGGATTGTAAACCAGCAAAGTCCTTGCAACCTGTGAGGTCAACCAAGGGTTGCCTTGCCTAAAAAAAAAAAAAAAGCAAGCATTTGAGGTCCATATTCCAAGTGTTCCTTTACTACTCCTCAAAAAATCCCCATAAGGTGGATATCATATCCTCATTTTTTTTTTTTTGATGAAGAAATTGAAGCTAAGATATGAATCACTTATCCAGTCACATGGCTAATAAAACAGCAGAGCGAGGATTTGAACTCAAGAAGTCTGATTCAGAGCCCACGTTTTTAGTATTTAATTATCATACAATAAAATTGACTTTTTGTAGTTCTATGAATTTTAACAGATGTATAAATTTGCATAACCACCAGTGATACTCCCCCAAATTCTATGCTCTTCCTTTATATTCACACACCCTATTCATCGAACCTGGCAACCACTGATCCTTTCTCACTAGTTTTCCAGAATGTCCAAATGGAATCATACAGCATGTAACCATTTGAGACCAGCTTCCCTGCCTAGCCTAATCTTTCAATCTATTGTTACATGTACTAGTTGGTTCCTTTACATTAATACTTAGCCACGCCAAGTGTTACACTAAGCATTTTGACATAGCTCATTTGATCCTCACAGCGCCAAGTAAGGTAATGTTATGCCCATTTTATAGATGAGAGTTTTGAAGCCAAGAAATGGTGGAAGTCACAAGCTGCCTGCCAGGAGCCAGGACTAATGCCAGGCTTGGAGGCATCTTTAACTGCTCCCAGCCAAGGAGGTGTAGGGGAGATACCAGCCCTGGCTGGAATTCTGGAATGGTCTGTGGATTCCATCTTTACCCACGACGCATCAGGTGTTTGTTGGGACTGAGGCTAGGAGACATATGTGCTGAGGAGGGGAGAGCTGCGAGTTAAATGAAACCGGATTGGCCACTGTCATTAGACCAGTCTGGAACTGCCCATGGCTAAAACTAAAAACATACATATCCATCTCATATATTACATACAAAGCACAGAATCCATGATTTAGTATATACAACCCATTCAGACATGCCCGCATAAATGTACAGTGTGGGATTCGTTCTCTCCCCCTGGAGTTTGACCTCTGTAGACATTTGTTACTTATTACCCATGTTCAGTGTTTATCTTCAATGACCAAATTCGAGAGCATTTTGACTTAAAGGATTCTTTATTTTCCTTCTCCAGATAGAAAAGCTACAGTTATATTATGCTTTCTCAGGAAAAAAAGGGTCAATCTTTTTCAAGAGATCTTGTATTCCAATGCCATCGGTGAAAAACTCCTTAAAAAGAAAAAAAGGCAGATTACAATCAGAACTTCATTCTGATATCAAAGTACTACTTGACTGAAATATGGGAGCATCTGGTTAAAACTTCAGGAACTACACGGATGGATATTCAATTAATTACCAAGCCAAAAAGACTTACAATCTCAAAACAACCTGTCTGTTTTGCACCTCACTGAAGCCTGCATGTTGTACCTGTTAAAATGTTCAACCTCAATCTAAATCCTAATTACAGGAAATAGTCAAGAGCAGACAAATCCAGGGGCACACCCAAAGGTGTTTGTTGTTTCTAAAGGGATATAACACCAATGCAATGCATATAAGAGATGGGATATCTGAATATGAAGTGGATAAGCAGACATTAGGAAAATATTAATATTCTTAGCTGTTAAGGGTCAGCTATGTAGCAGAACAGTTTAGGGATCAAGGGTCACAAAAGCAACTTTTAAATAGCAAAACCTATGCATTTATACGAAGTAAATATTTTATTTCAATTTAGGGTAATGAGTAATTTTTTGAGAAGCCGAAAAGATAAAGTGGGTGTTGTTCTGTTCAAAAATGGGAGCAGAAAGTGTAGACTTAATTTTTTTCCCTTTCTTGAAAGACCTAGTAGTAGCAATAGGTCAACTGTCTCCTGTTGAGGACTTAATTTTCCCTTCCTGTTTTATATACCCAATTTGAAACTAGATCCCCAGGTTACTGCCAAGTGGTCAAACGCATCACCTCTCTACCCAGGGCACATTCGACAATAATTTTATTAGGAGGTTGACACCTGTATAAAATCATTGCAGAAATCTCACCTGTTACAGGACAGACTGAACCAAGCCAAGGGGATGATCAGGCTGCATCAACCTACTTATTGCCCAGCGGCTCTCAGGACTCCCAATCTGCACGAAGTTAACAGATGAAGCCAAGATAAATGACCTGAGTACTAAGAAAACAAAAAACAAACAACCTCCCCCAATAAACAAAACCACCAAAACAAAACAAAAACCCACTTAGAATGTAGTCTATTAATGGTAAACAAAACATTATTTCTGGGGCCAATGCATCAGACAAAAACTGGCTAGTGGTTTAGTTAGATCAACAGGGTCGATCTGATGGGGAAAAAAGTTATGTCATCAGCTGCGATGGCCATATTTGAGCCAGAAAATAGAGCACAAGGGGGATAACCCCATATTTAAAAGCAAAGCAGTTACTACCTTCTCCATTCTCCAGACCCTGTCTATTCAGCCATGCGGGCATGGGCACTTAGACATGTACATCACTTACCAATCCTCTGCCACTCCTGGATTCATCCTGCTTCCTTCAAAATCTGCTTTCTGAAAACAGTAAACCTGAGAAGAAAACACTGAAACATAAGCTCCAATTAGCTAGATGCCCAAAGAACCAGGGGACAAAGAACTGCTCAAGCTGGCATATCAGACAGAAACTGGCTTAGAGAAGTTAGATCAACATGGTCGATCTGTTGGGGAAAAAAGTTCAGTCATCATATATGCCAGAAGGAAGCTCTTGGCCTCTATTAAAGAGCCCTGAACCAAGAATGAGAATTTGTTGGTCTGCTTCTATTCATTCAATATTCAAGCACTTCTGGGTCCTGTTTGTTGGCAATAAGGAAATAGCAGCTAAGACCATCCTTGCTTTCTGAGCTTTCATCTGATACAGGACAGTGTGCCTGGCAAGGGCTGTGGGGAAACGTTTACAGAAATAAGTGACCACGGAGTTCTGGTCGAAGTGTATTTTACATTTTAATATGAGTTGTTACCACTAAAAATCTGGGACAACAAGGTTTAAGAAAAATATGTCCCCAAGAAGTCCTGGACTTGAGAATGAGTTAGGAATGTGGGAATTAGTTCGGGTGACTAGGTCAACAGAAATACACATTTGACTTTCCTTTTAAAAATGCCATCGCATCATCCATCCATTTCAAAATTTCAGTGCACAAAAAAGCTGTTTTATGAAAAACACAACATGAAGAAATAGAATCCTAAAAGGTGCTTTGAAGAGCATTTGACAACACCTATTCACTTTGGGAACGAAGAGGGTTATGGAATAAACCTGACAAGCTCAGAGGGCCACGTGGCAGGCCTAACAGGCTGAGTAACGACAGCGGTTAGTCCTGTCCCAGATCTATAGCTTCCTTAGCAAATTTTCTACAGGTCTGGACACATATCTTTTCAGAAATGATTGCACTCTGGGAAATTATTTCTCTTAAATCTATTTCACCAGCGACATAAGACTATAGGTGCATTTTTGAGAATAAAACGAAGCAACCAAAACACTTCAAAGAATATCTAATATCTAAACCATGCTTAATACAAATTAGCTACCATTAAATCTTTTCCAAGTTCGCCTAGCAGAGGATCCTCAGAGCATGAGTTTCTATAACAGGCCAGGAGACGAATGCTTACCCCAGAGATCATGATATCGAAGGTTTAAGATGTCTACACGGGGTTCCGCTGAAGGCCCAGCAACGATCCTCTCTTTCAAGATCCATTGTGATCGCGCTAACCTGCGAACCAACAAAGAAAGGGCATCAATCGCCATCTTCCCACGGTCGAAAAAGAACATGGCCGCGCCTTTTGAGGCCGGTATATCAGAACTAACTGGCAAGTTTTCAAAGATATCGGCATGGTCGATATGATGGGGAAAAAAGTGAAGTCATCATTTACACCAGCCAAGGACGCCTTAGGTCTGTACACAGGGCGCAGTTTTCCAGCACTGACTTCTACTCGGGCCCATTAGGGTCAGAGCAAGGAGCCAAGGCAGGGGCGATGGCAAAGAGGGGAAGAGAGGAACAGAGATCTCAAATAGAAAACAGTAGACCTCAACTCACCATACACAGCAGTAGCCCCAGGTTCCCAGGGCGGGACGACATCGGACGACCAACGGGAACGAAACGATAAAGAAGTCAATGCACCGCAGACGCAAAAGAACGAAGTGAACCCGGGACTTCCCTTATATAACCATAGGGAGGCTCTTGCGCCTGCGCACTGGACCCGAGGCGTTTCCGGTTCCCCCGGCGCCTCGCGGGAAACCGAGGCGATCCAATGGTTGTCAAGGCCGCTCTAGCCCCGCCCCCTTCCCCGTACACACTGGGCTTCCCGGGCTCGTCGGCCTCGCCGCCATGTCGCGCTTCACACGCACTAAGAAGCCCACAGGGTCCCCCCGCCTTCGGGGCTGGCTGAGGCCTGCCGCAGCCTCGGGTGCTGTTACCCGCTTCCCGCAGTCCCCTCCCCTCAGCCGCGCCCGTTCGAGCCCGCCGCGGGGCGCTGAGGCGACGCCCGCCCGCGCGTCCGCCCGCCCCGGCCTGAGGGCGTAGGCGCCGGCTGTGCCAGGGCCCCTCCTTCTCTTCGCCCCGCCGCGTTCGCCCGCTGGGCTCCTCCTTCCCCTCTGTGTTTGCGGGGAAGGGAAACCGAAAGTGCGCGGCGGCGGGCGGAGCCGCTGAACTGCTCGTGTTCGGACCCCAGTCCTTGGCGACGGCGACGAG